ATAATGGTATATATATAATATATATATATAATATATATATATATATATATATATATATATATATATATATATATATATATATATATATATATATATATATATATATATATATATATATATATATATATATATATATATTCAACATCTTCGCTTCCAACAAGGCTGCAAGCAACCACTAGTAGAGTTGGAAGTTATAAGAGAAAAGATAAAGATTGTAGTGCAAGATAACGATTGAAAGACGACTTAAAAGATTGCAAATTATATGAATTAGGAAAGCAAGATGAAGGAGGCGAATTCTAAAGAACAGATGTTAGAGGAAAAAAATTAGACAAATAAGAGTTTTTGGAGTACTAAAGAACAGTAACAGAAAAAGTCCATCAAAGTCCAATATTTCAGTCATGTTTTGTGGCAACAATACTGAATGTACAATACCACCTTACGTTGTCTACAAATCAGAAAATCTGTGGTCAACGTGGAATGAAAACGGTCCCTATGAAACTAAGTACAATCGCACAAAACACGGATGGTTAGATAGTGTCACATTTGAGGAGTGGTTTACTGCTCACCTGCTTCCTATACTAAAAAAAACAGACTGGAAAAAAAGTTCTTATTGGGGATAATTTATCATCACACATCAGTCAGAATGTTTTAAAATTATGTCAAGTAAATAACACAGCATTTGCGTGTTTACCACCTAACTCATCGCATTTAACACAGCCTCTAGATGTTGCATATTTTAGGCCACTAAAAAGTGGAAAACTGTTTTAAATCTGTGGAAAGAATCACCTGCAGGTAAAAAATCCACACTTCCAAATGGACGCTTTCCACCACTTCTAAAAAAAGTACTGGAATTAATAAAAGATACTTCTGTGAAAATTTAATATCAGGTTTTGCCAAGTGTGGAATTTATCCTTGTAATAAAGTACCTCTTATTAATCGTTTGCCACTGCAGGATCGATCATCTGTTGATCTAAGCCTTATTTCTAAAGCAATTATCAGTCATTTAAATGACAATCGTGCAGACCTTATACCTTCAATATCAAAGCGCAAAAAGAAACTAAATGTTCCACCAGGAACAGGAATCTATCCTGACTCAGAAGAATCAGAAGTTGTACCAGTCAAAAATGCCCTAGAAGCGCCCCAGAAACGAAATAAAGTTAATAGCGATATCTCTAGTGCAGCGTCTAACAGTCAATATAAGTTTAGGCTGGGGGTTTTAAATCTGATTGAAACAGTTATTTTTAAACATTAAATATTTATGTGTAGTAGTTACTTACCTACCAATTTAGTTATTGCTTTATTATAAAAGAACAAAAAAAAGAATAATAAGATATGCAAAGTTTTCTGTATAATTTCTATTTTTCTTTTGCTTTAAATGGATCCAATGAAAATTGTTTTAACAATATAGAATTATTTCTTTAAGTATATTTTAAGTAAGTATTTGTTTTAACACTATGGAGGTATTCACCTAAGTAATTTGTAAGTAAATATAACAAAACAGCACAACAAGTATACATGGCTTAAAGAAACACCAACCCAGAGTAACATTATGTCACATTTTGAAAAAACTAAAAAGTATATCCATTTTTAATTTATTTTATAAATCAATAAGTTTGAATTAAAGGTTGATATCTTTTAAAATATTTTGAATAAAAAAAAATTGAAAGAAAATTTTGAATAGAGCAAAATTGATCGTTATAACCTAAAATTGCAATAAAGTGGATTAAAGTAAAAACCCTGTGTTACGGTATAACTCTGGAGTCAAGAATTACTTTAAGTAGTTCTTTAACTTTTCCTGATGTTCTATAGTAAAAATACAGTGAAATCATTTGTGAAATTCTACCATCGTTTTCTTTAAAACAGCATAGAGACCTTAGGCTTGTAAAAATAAAAGGTTGAAAAAATTCTTCAAGCAATAATGCATTAAAGTAGAAGACATATAAAGATATGTAAACCGATTTGTGATTCAAACCAATGGCATAGATAGAATTTTTTATTGCTTCAGAAATGACACTTTCAAGTTTTGTGCAAACTCCAAACTTAAGAATGTCCTTGCTTATGTCAAATATAAATGTTTTGTGAAAAATTGCGGTAATTGGAACCTAAGAACCAGAGTTTAATACCCCTAAAAAAATTTAAATTTAATATAAAATATAAAAAAAAAGTTTTATTAATCGTGATCTTCACATTTGAGGTAGCTAAGGTGTTCTTTTTGGGGTATTTTTGTTCTCAGCCTCCAAAAATGGTTTCTAATAGGGCTCAATGATAAGGCTTATATCTCTTCTTCCTCTTACCATTTATATACTTTTTTATATTTTTGTAGATTGTAAATATTTTTAAATGGAAAAATAAACTAATTACTGCAATTTTTTGTAAAGTTTTCTCATATCAAATAAACAAGAACATACTTAAGCTTGAAGTTTGCATAATGCTTGAAGTAGTCATTTCTAAAGCATCAAAAAACCTTACCTACGTCACTCATACAATGACTTATTAAGATAAGGAAAAACAATGTATGAGTAATAACATTTTTTTTAAATATACAAAATGTTTAACCTTTTGTATTAGAGATACTTCAACAATCCAAAATTACCCCCCGAGCTTGTTTTTTTTTTGCATTAAAAGAATGTTATTATGGAGTAATAAAAAATTACCCCCGAGCTTGATTTTTATTATGGAGAAAATAAAAAATCCACACATTCAATCTGGAGACCTTTAATATTTTTTATAATGGCTGATTTTTGAACGCAAAAAATTTTGAGCGTGATTGAGAGCATCACTTTTGAGCCAACAGCATTTTTGTCTGGTTTTCTCAGAAATTGTTTTTTAAATCAGGGAGAAAATAGACGCAGGATTACTTCGCTAATCTGCTGAGCAAAGAAAATAATAAATTGATATTAAATATGTAAGCATAATTAAGGTTGATTAGTGAAGCAGTTGAATCTACTGCTAACCCTGACTTGCGCTAGAAAGTGTACTGTACTTTGTAAAGTGTAACTATACAACTGGTTGTAAAACTAAACGCTGCACGTATTTAAAATCAGCTTCAGAATGTTTAAATCTATGTACCTTAACAAAGTAGGAGAGCACTGATTCTGCTGCTGACAATGGTGTTTAAGATTATGGTATTGATGATTATGATAAATAGGAAGAAAATTAGAAGACTTATATTACAACAGATCAAATTTTTTTAACAAATTTGATCTATTGTAATATAAGTCACAAAAAATTGCGGGTTTTTGAATTTATAAATTTTTATTTTGGAATCTCCACAACTTAAAACGCTCATGTACACTAGAATTCTTTAGATCTCACGACTGCATCACAAAAGCTAATTTTAAAGAATTTTTTTTTATAACGGCCCGTGGTCTAAAAGTGAAAAAGTGTTTTAAAATATAATAAAAATTGCGTGAGGATTATTTTTTTATTAACATGTTAACAAAATAAACGCTTGTCATTAAATTTAATGCACTTTTCTTTATTTAACAATGTCGCTAACATTGCAAAAAAAGTCATTAGGGGATTTTAAGAAGTAATTTCACAAAAACATATTTGTATAACCTTCCGATTTAACCTGTCATTTCGAAAAGGACACAAGTCCAAAACTATTAACAATTAGTTTATAAACTTAAATTAAAAATTTCTATATGATTTATTTTTTTTTTTTATAAAAAATAAAACTTTCACAAGTTATATACGTTCTTTATTTATCTACTCCAACGTTTAATTTTTCTAGCAACGTAGAGAAGAAACAATTTTATTTCAGCGTAATAAAAGTCATGTTTTTGTTGACTTTGAAAAGTTTTAATAAATGGAATTGTATTTTTTTCGAAATGACAGGTTCAATTATGTCTCAGAAAAAATTTATTCAACATTTTCATTATGTGGATAAAATTTTATCACGAGATTTGATCACTAAAACTTTACTGCAAATGAATTTTTTTAATTATTACTATTATTTTAAGATTCTCAATCTATCTACTTTTAAATTGTCTAAAAAAAATTATTTTTATATCTTGACTTTTTTACATTTGCTCAACCACAAAACAGTGTAACACATTGTACCACTCATAACCCCACTTTTAGCTTACTTTGTATCCTGTTAAAGGTTTCATCACAACTTCATTGCATTGTTTTTCAGATTAAGAAAATAGCTTAAAAACATTTAAATATGAAAATTTCCGATAAAGTTTTTGCAAGAGTAAATCTACAAGTAGAACACGTTATAAATACTTTTGCGCCGCCCAGTGTGCTATGTCACAATTTACAGGGGCCAGATTCAATTTTGTACTTACGAAAAAAGTTAATTATTTAATATGAGAATCAAAATATATCAGGATGGTTTGACTTACTTTGGTTCGAAGATATATATATATCTTATAGTTAGTCATACTCGCACGCAAAACAAAAACTGTAATCCCAACTATAAACTTTAAACTTTTTAAAATAGTAGTTTTTAGATTCAATAGAATCAAATAGTCAAGATGTTTTGACTTGTATTTGTATTTTGTCATAATAGTAAAGCATCGTTTTAGAACTGAAGCTCTTATAGGTTTTTTATAGGTGATAATATTATCTTATAGATAATATTAGCAGGTTTTTCAGTGAAAAACTGTTTGAGCTAGTTAAAGTAAAGCTGTATTATGTAATAGCCGACCATAACCCCTATAAAAATGCCATCAAACTTTAATCATTGTCAATAACGTTGTTTAAAGAAAGTTTTAAACAATAAATGCAGAATTGTTCGTATTTTTACTTTCAAAAAAAGGTTTTCGTTTAGGTTATAAAATTTATAATAACTTTTTATTTTGGCATAAGTTTTTGTAATAAGTTTTAAGGCAAATCGGTAGACTTCACCACCGAAGAAAAAAAAAAAAAAAAAAGAAACAAAAAACAACACTTTTTTACTATGGTTACCAGTCCCTGAATTATTTTGTGCATCGAGAAAATAATTTTAAACGCGTGAAAAAATTTACACGAAATAAAAAATATTTACGAACCATTTTTTCGTGACTTGATGCTCCTTCAGTTGTTTTGATATTTAACAATTTTTTCGAAAAGCTGCTATTTTAAACAGATTAAAATTTATAATTGGGATTATACTTTTTTTTTGTGTAAAAAGTATGACTAACGAGAAATATATTTTATTTCATTAAGATACTAAGTTGCGTGGTTACAAAGACATATTAATTATTATGTAAAAAATGGAGATATTTAGCTTTTATAAAAAATGGAAATACTTTATTTTTATTTATTTATGACAATAACACTGTCTTATATGGAGCGAAGCTTTTTCATCAATCTTATTGTTGAAATGGTAATAAATTTTGAGCTATAGTTAGTCATATTGATTTACAAAACAATTCCAAACAACTCGTAAAACACATTTGTAATTTATTAAATAGTTACCCAGTGGGCACGGGACATAAAAAAAAAACGTCTTTTGAACGTCTTTTAAACGTATTGAATGTCTTTTGAACGTTTTGAACGTCTTTTTTCAGAACGATCCCATCTAATTTCAGTCTTTATGTATTCTCTTTATTCAACCATATTGATAAAATTTACAAGATTCATCGTAAATTTACACAAAATAGTTAGGTTTCACTCATATAGTTACAAACTAATCATTGGAGTGACAACTAAAAATATAAAAACATAAACAAAAACAAAACAAAACAAACAAAAAAAAAATAGAAGTAGAAAAAGAAGATAAAGAAGAAGAAGACTATTTAAGCAACAAGTAAAAATAAAAATAGAAAAAAAAAAAAAAAAAAAAAAAAGAAGAATACAAAATAAATAAGTGAATAATAAAAAAAGTTTGCTAAAACTAAAAAACTATTAAAGACATAAAATTCTAAAAACTATTATTTGCGTATTATTAAATAATCAAAAAAAAAAAAAAAAAAAAAAATATATATATATATATATATATATATATATATATATACATATATATATATATATATATATATATATATATATATATATAATATATATATATATATATATATATATACATATATATATATATATATATATATATATATATATATATATATATATATATATATATATATATATATATATATATATATATATATATATATATATATATATATATTTGTTAAAATTACTACTTTAAGTTTTCATTTAAAAGAGGTGAACTTACATTATTGAAAAAAAACTTGAGAAAATTTAAAACTATTTTGCTCCATAAATTTTGAAATGCATTGCAAAATTTAAGCAATAATTTTTGGAAAAATGACTATATGATATACATTTAGAGTGTTTATTTCTATTATTTATTGTTTTGCATGATTTGCAACGTTCACTAAAATTTATTAAACGTACTCCATGTTATCTTCTAGTAGCCAGAGTAGTTATACTTGCCAGAAGTAGACATATAATTTAATTACATGTCTACTTCTGGCAAGTAGAACTAGTTGGCCTTTGTACTATCCTAAGCAATATCTGCATAGGTAATATGGGTGTGAATAAGTGAGAAATTTAGTTTCCTTATTTAAAAATATTCGAGCTAAAATTTTGATGCTTGTTGATGTTTTTTACATAAATTTTCAATTTTTTTCTATGTAAGATTGTTACCAATATAAATACCAAAACATTTTGTAACATTTACTCTATTTATTTTAATATCATCAATAAATGCAGCCATGGTAAAGCATTGCCATGGTAAAGTGGTTAGAGTTCTAGTTTAAAACTTAAAGTCTCTGCTTCAGAGCCGATTCTGGCCATGTTTAAATGCTCTTTCCCGGTGCTCTGCGAGGAAACTGTAAGGACTTGTTGTAGCACCTAAATAACTAAATAAAAAAGTTTTTTGTCAGACGAAAGAGATTCCAAGTAGTTTTTTTAATGCTAAGTGAGTTATTTTGATTTGAATCAGCAAAAAATCTTGTTTAGACCGGCAGAAGTTCACCGGCAGAAGTTCATACTTTATTGATATCGTTAATATACATATGAGAAAAAAGAAAAAGTCTGAGAATAAATTCTTGCAGATTGTGCCTTTAAATACTGTTGGATTAATTATAAATAGTTTTATTAGGTACTTTAGTTCGTACTTAATTTTTTTCATGAATAGTAAAGAAACAATAAAATTCAAGAACAGTTATTTGTTTTTGAATGTTCTTTTGATCTTGTTCTTTTATTACAAATAAATATCAAATAATACAATTTGTTAAATATTTTACTTCTTTCAGCTTAAATGTTTCTTATTTTTTTGATTTGTGTAAAATTATATCCATTTAATTTTCAGTCATAAATAGTTGATATTCATTAAATGCTGTTCATTAAATGCTTTCATTAAATGCTGTTCATTAAATGCTTTCGTTTATGCTGTTCATTAAATGTTGTTCATTAAATGCATTCATTTAATGCTGTTCGTTAAATGCTGTTCATTAAATGCTTTCATTAAATGCTTAAGAATTATAATTAAAACGTTGTTGTAATTTACATTAAATTTTAAATCTTATACTTTTCTTATGCCGCTGACAAATACCATTTAAGAATGTGTCAGCGACATAAAGCATATCTGCAACAAAGTAAAACCCAATATATATATTTTTAAATCTGGATCTTCCAATGCGTTGACCAACATTTTCTGCCACCCTCCAAAGATTTGCTGGACCAGCAATCCGTAGAAATATAATGATTTGCTTTTCCAATCAATTCTGGTTTTGATTTATGACTCTCTTGGTTGTCAATTAAAAGAATGTTTTGATTTTCCTTACGAGTACGAGTATACTTTACAAAAGGTTTCGTAAATTCTAGAAACACGTTTTCATCAGATCTACCCAATCAGTTTGCTCCTCCAAAAGTACATTTTGGGGTCCTTTTTAACATAGATTTTTTAAAGTTTCACGAGGAAAATTTAATATTGGAGGCATTTTGACATCTCCTGCATTTATTGCACCAATCGTTTTTATACTATACTTTTATGCACTACTAGTCATTTTTTGCTAAGGTTTTTGAAGGATTAAGGACATTACTAAAACTAGTTTTGGCAAACATTTCATATTTTAAAAACTGTTTTATTTTTTTCAAATAAAAGAGTTTCTTTATAGTTCTGAAAGGTAATTGTTATAATTTTCATATAAAGTATTTACTTATTTTTAATATTAAGCTTAAATAACAATTTGCTTTGACTTTTTATTCAGGCCTACATGTTCATAAATTAAAAAGCCCAACAAGTTCACCTGACAAGAATAAAGCTCGCATTTAAAAAAAAAGAGCACGCATTAAAAAAAAAGAGCACTTAACAAATTCTTTCAAAAAAATTTTACAAAACTTTTTTTTAGGCGTATTTAACAAAGAAAATGGAAATGATAGGGGAAGTGGGGCTTAACCGCCCCCGTAACGTTTGGATTAACGTTATATGAAAATAAAAACGAAATGTGTTTTTTAACAGTTTATTTCAACAACCACATTACTTAGCTTTAAATAGATCCAATTAGAAAAAAAAATAAATGGTTTTTGAAAATGTTATTACATAAAAATTACACTTAGTGAAAAAAACTGTTTAGCCCCCATTGTGAGGCATAACCGCACCCTCATAAAAATTGTTGGGGTACACTTTTCTTGGTACATTTTTTTACAATTGCCACAGCTCAGATTATTTGCTAATTTTATTGCACGTTTGCATATTGTGTTTTCTCATTCGATATATTCTTACCTTTATATCTTAATCAAAACTCATTTATAAAAGTTAAATAAATAAAAAAAAAACTAATTTCCAACATCTCAAAACAAAAAAATTTTTATTCAAGTGTGACGATTGTAATTATTGTCATTCGTATTTACTTAACTTAAATATCGAAAGTACGCGGTTCTGCCCCACAGGACAGTTTTTAGAAAGAATATAGCTTCAAAGCTTGCTTATTAGGTTAGAATGTTGATATCAAAAATGGTTTTCACTTGATGTAATAACGCTGATAACACATGTCTTTAACACTAAAATTAAATATTGCTTAGTCCTCAAATAAAAAGGTGTGAAAATTTTTTTTGAGGATAATATTTTTTTCAAAATAAACATTATTAGGCACAACTTCTCAGAAACGTAACAGGTACTCTATTTGAAGTAAGCGAAATGAACGAAACTGTTTTATTAATGCGTGGTATGTTTTTCGCTATATTAGATAACATTTTTCAAAGAGAAATGTTAAAAAACGGTTGTGCCTCCGCATGCGGTTATGTCCCCATTTTCCCTATATTACAAAATTTAGCAAGTGTGTATCTTGATGGTATCACTATGGTACACAACATTAGCTACTTCTAAGGTATATCATAACAAATGTGGTATACTTTGGAGGTTACAAAATGACGACTATAAACTCATAGATTAAGAGTTTCAAACATGTGTAGCTAAAAACACGCTTTTCAAAATGTGATTATCAATTTAAAAATAAAATTAATACTTACAGTTAAGGAAGAAAAAGAAGATGCTTTAAACAAATAACTTTTTGATGTGGGAAGTAAGTTTTTCTTTTAACTGAATCAACACGTGTGTTGACCAGTGGTACAACTGTAAAACTCATTTATATTAATCTCATCACTAAAGATACCCACTTATCAACTCATCACTAAAGATACCCACACAATTGATGCGTCTCCAGGGTACACCACTCTCATTTATATTAATCAGATATTTAATTCTATATAAATAAGAGTAAACATAATAATAAATTAATAAATAGCAAATTATTGAACAAATAACTTTATTTAAATGGTTTAAATTTTTTAAAATTTTTTATTGAATATTCTGCCATATTTTTAACATACAATCTAAACTCGTTTTCTTTTATGTTTTATACTTGTGTGGAAACAACATACATACATATTAAACAACTTTATTGTTAATTAAGTTAAAAAATAACACTGATGGACAACAAAATTATTTACTTGTCCGTAAATAATAGCACAAAAATTAGTAATAATAATTAATAAAAATAGTAACAAAAATTGCAAAAAAAGGAAAGTTTAAAAAAAGAAAAATTACAAAAAATAAAAACATAAAAGTAAACAACAACATTAGTACTGAAGACTTAGAGGAGAATGGGGAGAAGTGGGACAAATTATTATTTAAAAATTAATTATCTGATGACGCCATTTTGATCATTGAATTATATCAGTGATTATTTTTTTAGTTTTTTTTGATTATTGAAACTTGAAAAGTTTTTAATATACATATTATTCATTTTTCTATTTGTTGTAGATCCAATTTCGTCATCTGCGCAGTCTTCATTTCATGGCTCAGGTAATTCGTTGTTTCAACATCGTGATATAAGTAGTTTAAATGTAAAAATGAAATTTTTACACAAATGTGCCATCTGAATAATAAAAAACAAAAACCCAAATTTACTAGGAAATAATACTTTTTTCTAGAAGTTTTCCTGTGAAATTAACTACAAAAATATTGAAATATTAATAATGTTACAAGAATCTTAACTAATGCAATGTAATATTAACGGCTTAACGTGGTCAGCATAAAATGCCTCATTATAAACAAATATTTGAAACTATATTATGCATTACTTCTACTTTTTCGGGAATTATTAAAGACGGTTTGATAAGACATGATAAAATATTTTATGGAAATAAACCAAACATGAAGTCAACACATCAAATCCGGTTCAAATACATAAATTGAAATTTTGTAACTGTTTGGAAGACAGATTTAGCATGATTTCAGCTTATTAGATTGCAAATTCTCTTAAATCACAAAATCCAGATTACTATCAGTATTTTATGCATATTTGATTACATTAATGTTTCTACTTTTAAAGATAAAGTAAAAAAAATCTGCTTGAAACACGTGACCAAATTTTTAAGACGTTACGTCCACCTTTTAAATTCTCTCCGATTCATTAGCATCTATTACAGAAGAAATGATCAAATTATTAGAAAGATTTACAATTCTTATTTAAGGACCAAAGCAGCATCACTTTATTTGTCGACTTCGCAAGAAAATGTCTGTTTACTACAAAAGGAAAATCTATAAGTAAGTAAATACATTTGTTAAGGATTTCTCTGCCCTATTGGCCGCCATCTCGGAAATTATGTATATCGCGAAACTTTAAATGTGTAAAGTATTTGCTTAATTCTTATAAAAGTTCATGCTTGTGCCACAAAGTGAATAAAAAAACGAAAATGTTAAAAATAAAACAAATCATAACATTAAGCAAATTATTAATTCATAGATTAACAAACAAATTAATAATTCGAAGACTATCAAACTATAAATTCATCCAAATCGTAAATTAAAAAAAGTTAAAAAATATAACATTATAAAAAAATAACAATAAAAAATTTAAATGTTCAAAAACTAAACAACAAAATTTAAACCGGAAAAACATGATATTAAATAGATTTAATTACAAAACAAAATTTAATTATAAAAATTTTTACTTATAACAATTTCATTTATATGTAAACAACTTTTTTTAAATTCTTTTTAAATTTTTTTTTTAATGATGTTGTTTTGTTTGCGAACATTTAAACTTTTTATCGTTTTTATTATTTTTATATTAATTTATTTTTTATCCTGTTATAACAGAAAAAAGTAACAAATAACAAATTCAAGTAATAAAAAACAACACAATTGTTAAGAGTATGATCTTGTTTGTTAAAACATGTCAACATCATTAAGTGCGTTTTAACACTATGAAATAATTTGGATAGGTCAAACAATCAAAATATAAATATCAAAATAGGTAAAAAAAATTAAAAATGTATAAAAAATTTAAATGTTCACAAAACAACAAAATTTAAATATAAAAAAAAAAAAACTTAAAATTTAAGGAAAAAAAAAAGTCAAACAGGAAAAAAACCCGATTTTAATAACTAAAAGTTTTTGTTTTTAAAATCAAACAAAAAATCTTATAAAAAATTTTAATTTGCGTCAATTTCATTTATACTGAGAAAACAATTAGTGTAACTTTTTTTTTAAAACAATTAATTTTTTTAATTCTTCTTAAATTTTTTTCGAACATTAAAAATGTTTTCGAACATTTAAATTTTTATTGTTATTATTATTATTATTATTATTATTATTATTATTATTATTATTATATTAATTTATTTTTTAACAAATAACAAAACAAACTAATAAAAAACAACACAATCTTGTTTGTTAAAACATGTCAACAACATTAAGTGCGTTTTTAACACATTGAAATAATATGGACAATTCAAACGATCGAAATATCGTACTTAATACAAAAATTAATAAAAACTAATGAAAAACATATAAATATAAAAGGAATTTTACATATATATATATATATATATATATATATATATATATATATATATATATATATATATATATATATATATATATATATATATATATATATATATATATATATATATATATATATATATATATATATGTTTTTGTTTTAATGTAACTGTAGCATTCAGAAAATTTTGGGAACTCCCCACGTTAATTAATATGATCTAAAGGTAGCGGTTACAGAACTCCAGAGGGTGCTGAGAAAACCTAAACAAAAAAAGATAATGAAAAATATTTTACGAAAATTCTAGGCTATACTCTAAAGTGCTTAATACCCTGGAATACATTAGAATCTCCCCAACCCCACCATGTTTATTAGATTTAGACAAAAACTCCCACCTGACCTTTTATTCCCGCCCAACCTTGTATTAAGCACCTGAGAGTACATAAAAACACATATACATAGAAATATTGCCAATTGTTATACATAGAAATATTGCCAAACATAGAAATACTTGTTATTTAGAAATTATTTTACTAACTTTAAATTAAGCACTATAACATAGGAACAAACACAATTTATTCATATGAAAGAATGATAACAAAAAGCAATAAAAGCTCACCAGAAGACAAACAAAAGTTCATTTTCTTTGAAAGGTCATCTCTTTTTAATCGAATCTCGTTTAACAACGAGAACCCTAAAACTTTTCTCTCTTGAATTTGTCTATATGCCGTCATTAAAGAAGTACGAATGCCCATATTTGTATTGCAATGAATAATATTGGCTAAACGTGTTTTCAAATCAACAGTATGGCTTGCGTATTTTTCAACAAAAGCAATATCATTAGTTATTGCTGTCAAACTATTTTTAAGTTTGTTAATAAAACAGACTAAAAAGAAAAAAAAACTACTTTATTATTTAACAAATAAATAGTCTTGCTAAATAATAATAAAATCATAATATATTTATTAAAACTCAAAACCAATTTTATTTTTTTAATATAAATAATATATTATAAGCTAGTGACTAACTAACTTGTTTTCCAGGGGCAGTTTTCATCTAAACATTTAAAAAATTAAAAACACTTGAAAGCATTTTTTTTTTCTCTCAACTTGACAAAATTTCGAATCTACAATCTTATCTTTTCTAAATAAAATACACACTTTTCAAAACCTCTTGACATTAATTATTTCAAACTTCCCTATTTTAGACAAATCTTAAATATCTATAAACATCAGTTAAATAAATATATCCAAAAATATTGTAAAGAAAAGTCAAATTAGTTCTAACATCTTTCAAAATTGGCAGCATGTTCTCATTGAAAGTCTCTTCACCTAAAAATCTAAAACCTTTTGTTGAATATAAATGTGTATGTCTTAGCTGTAGTGGTTTTGATCAATATATGCTAGCATATATTGTTTTCATAAATATATGCTAGCATATATTGATGAAACCACTAGACACTATACAACAATATATGCATGTATGTGTTTATGTATGTATGTATACTATTTATTAAACTATATTACAAAAAAAATCATTCTAATTAAATTTATAATAAACGCATTTTAATTTTATCACCCAAAAAAAGCTCAAACCTCCATCAATGGGATAAGCAGCCCATTTATTAAAAATATCAACAATAGCTTGTTTATTTTTATCAACTTCAACATTGTTTTGATTTGAATATTCTTGAAGCTCTGTGTTATTCAAAAAACGAGTTACGTTTTCACACCAACAACTTTTTACCAAACTATTAACTTAAAAAAAAAATCATTTTTAAAGCAAACTACAACCAAAAAATCAAAATATATTTGAAAAATCATAATGCACCCAAATCGTAAAATTTATATATTTAATAAAAACTTATACCATTTGAACACAACTCTGTATTGCATATTCTTGTTCTTTCATAACCAACTGGATATGTGTTACAGTTGCTACCTAACAAGCAGCTTCGCACTTGTTGAACTAAACCACTGCCACATGGGACGCTGCAGTTACCAATACTTCGCCACTCACTCCAATAGCCATCAACTAAAACAAACATTATTGTTTTTATAAATTTTAAAATTAGTTTAAAAAACCTTTTTTAAAAAAAAACTTCTATTAAACATTAAAACTTTTATTAATTTTAAAGTTGTTTTTAAAAATTGTTATTATAATGAAATATTGATAATTTTAAAATACATTTAGAAAAAATAATAGTTCTTAAAAAAATTCTATACATTAAAGAATTAAAAAATAATCTTACATTCACACTGTGGCCCGCTGTACAACTTGTCACAAACGCATGTATAGCCTCCATTTTTATTTTGACAAGTAGAATGTTTAGGACAGGATGCTGTACCAAGTGCACATTCATCAATGTCTAATAGAATTGCATGCAACATTTATAATTATAAAAAAGTATATATATATATATATATATATATATATATATATATATATATATATATATATATATATATATATATATATATATATATAAATATAAATATAAATATATATATATATATATATATATATATATATATTTATATATATATGTATAAGGCCGGCGAAATGGGGGTAGAAGTGTAACGTCCCCCATTAATGTTTGTTTGTTCAGTCGGCAAATTTGACCCTTTTAGACAAGTCAGTCTGCAAATGTAGACTCATTAGACTAGTCAGTCGGCAAATTTAGACAGCCGGCAAACATCAACCGGGCAGTCAACAAGTTTCAAAAAACGAAGACCTTGTTTTGTTTTTTTAAGTTGGCAAAGTTGTAATGGCGTCCCCAGATGACACCTACACGCACCAGCCCTGTGTATAAATATATATATATACATAAATTATATATAAAAATATATTTAAAAATTTATATGCATATATTTATATATGTATATATGTATATATTTATATATGTATTTATCTATATATGTATATATTTATATATGTATATATTTATATATGTATATATAGTCACAATAAAACTTTTGAGTTAATTCCATTTCCACATTATATATACTGAAATCTATCATATATAAGTAAACCAATTGAAAGTTATTTTGTCCTAAAAATAGGTGAAGAAAATATCAATTTCTGTTGATGTGCAACAATGAGTAGTTCAGTTTTTCATTGTTTTCTCAAAATAAATTTAATTTTAGGACAAAATTGTTTTATTATTTATCTAATTATTTTTTGAACTTTCATTAAATAATACGATCCTGTGGATCAAATATATAAGGCCTGTCTTCAAATTTTAAGGTGAAAAATGGTTTCTAAAGTGATTTGTACCCAAGCAGGGCAACATCATATGAAAAGACATAACTTGGCTTTTCAATCTGTTTTGTGCGAAGTCAGTGTGTTGGAATAATATCCAATCTGTTCAACTTTCATTTCTAAACAAAGAAAAACAAGTTTTGCTGGAAGTCTACAGAATTTATCATTTTTATCAATTATGAATTGAACACAGGTAAAAGGAGTTTTACCCATGTTCAATTCATAACATTTGCTTGAAATCAGTGGACTGAAGCAGAAGGGAATCGTCAAAAAACTGAATGTTTTTGTAAGTTTAATGAAAAAAAATCTTCAGGCATTAAAACAGACTCTTCCAGAGTTGGAAAGTGTGGTTGAAAGTGGTCCACTACACCAAAACCTGACCAAAAGATACAAAGTATGTCCCAAAAGAACAGAAGAACCACCTGTAAAAAAATTGTGGTGGAATTAACTGTTAAAGGTATACTTTTAAGCCGTCAGACTGTGAACACCTATTAAAAAATGAACTGAAGGCATAGTGACCAAGAGAAAAAGCCAAGTTGGCAAATCAAATAAATAAAAATATGAGTGAGTCCAGGAGCATGAAACCTGGATAGAAGAAAATTGGATAAAGGTATGGTTCCTTGTAAGTACCATAAGGTACAGATAAGGTACCATAAGGTACCAACATTTTACTGTCACGATTTTGACTAAAAAATAAAACTGCACAATATGATTTTAAATATGAATACCACAAGTTCCGAATATTCAATTTTTGTTTAAAGGGTCACTTCTCTTTCAGATGGTCTTTTCTAATTTCACAATTGCAGTCTTAGATGACTGAATCCAGACAGTTCAAAGAAAGTCAGGAAGAGTTTAAACTTGACTGCTTAAAGAAGACTGTGAAACTTCCAATAAAGATTATGGTCTGGGAAGTTATATCTGTGTACAGCACAAGTTGACTGCACATAGTTAAAGGGACAATGGATCAGAACAAGTACATTAAAGTGCTAGAAAGTCGTCTTGGATAGTGCCCCAGGCCACTCTGGAAAAATATTGAAGGAGTGGTTTGCAAAAAAATCTATAAAAGTACTTAAATGTCCTGGCAACTTTCCAGAAATGATTCCAATTGAGAACTTATGAATCAACTGAAAGATGAAATCCACGCTGTGCCCATTAAAAAAAAAAACTAAACTGATTGATTTTGGTTTCAAATAAATAAAACAAAAGTATTAAAATTTTGAAAAATATATAATAATTTCAGGAGTATATATATATATATATATATATATATATATATATATATATATATATATATATATATATATATATATATATATATATATATATATATATATATATATATATATATATATATATATATATATATATATATATATATATATATATATATATATATATATATATATATATATATATATATATATATATATAGATATATATATATATAGATATATATATATATATAAGTAAAAAACCCATTAATTCAATTCACCTAATTCATGAAAAAAAGTCAAAACTTAAAGACTAACTTTAAACAAATATGTGTCTAAATAACAGATTGAATATTAGTATGCAATTAATAGACATTAATTTATTTAATATAGACTTTTCTCAATTAAAAAACCAACAAACCTTGACATTCATTATACTCTGTAATAGTAAAAAATTGTGGATCACAGAAACAATTATATGATCCAATGGTATTGGTACAATTTTCATTAGGAGCACAAGGATTTTGAAGACATTCATCAATATCTACCAAAAAAAAATTGTAAATATTTATTTTTTCTTCAAATAATTTGAAAACATGGTAAAAATTTAAAATTCTTAATAACAAAATCACAACTTTTATTCACATTTATAATTATGATTTTATTAGTATTATTTGAAACAAATAATACTAATGAAATGCTGGTTTTAATGCACTAGACATTCTTTTATAAAATGGTAAACAATAAAATAAGTTACCATTACATCCAGTGCCATTTACAGGTCCCTTTGCAGATAAATATTGAGTATCTAACATATAACCATTTCCAGTATAGCCTCGTGGACATGTACATGTAAAGCAACCAACTTCATTAAAACATGCTGCACTTACAGACGTACTATTGTAACATCCAATAGTTATACATTCATTTTCGTCTAATAATAAAAATAAATATATAAAATATTTTATTTAAATATTATGTAAACATTTATTATAAAAGTATATTTAAAATGTCAAAGTGTTATATAATATAACATACTTTGACACATACTTCATAATTTAAACATTATAGTATGTTATTATAAATAGCAAGTTTGAACATTTATTTGATATTTTAAACATATTTATGTTAAAAACAAAAGTGTTAAAATTCAAAAAAATAAGTAAAAAAATAAATATAAAAAATTCTTATTATTTAAAGTAGCAATTTTTTTAAATTCACTCTATATGTTCACATATGTTGCAGCCATGTCAAATGCATTAGCTCAAATTAATGCATTTAAGAAAAAGAGAGTAGGTGGGACTAAATGTACATATATCCACTAAAGAGTAAGTGTGTAGGGAAAGTGCATCCACTGAAGAGTTAATGTGTAGAGAAAGTGCACCCACTGAAGAGTTAATGTTTAAGGAAAGTGTATCCACTAAAGAGTTAGTATGTAAGGAAAGTGCATGACCTACGAGTAGGATATACTACAACAATTCTTTTTTTTTTTTTACAGCTAAAAATATAGGAAAAGTTTTTATAAATAACAATTTGACTAAACTATAAAAATTGTCATACTAAAAATTTGTCTACATTAGCGTAATAAGTCAAGCCACCTTTTTTTTTTTACTTAATTTGTTAATTTTAAATTTGTTTACTTTCTTATAAACTTTTTCTATTATTTTATTCAGCTTATTCGCATCTTTACAAATATAATATAATGCAGTACTGTTAATATAATATAATATAAATATAATATAAATAATATAATATTATTTGCACACTTTTATGGCTTCTACTACAACACAAACAAAACAACGACAACAACAGAACACATTTACATGTTACCTATTTAAAATCTATTGATGTTCTCTTGTTTTTTGTTTTTTAAAAATTGTTTAAAAACTTTTTAAAAAAAACATTTTAAAAATCGACTAAAAAGTAAAAAAAAAAACTACTTCATGGAACTCAAGGACTTTGCGTACGTACACAACCTGAAATATCTATTCAAGTCAATGACTGAAAATATTTTCAGTCATTGACTTTAATGAATATTTCAGGTTGTGTATGTACACAAAGCCCTTAGGTCCTATGAAGTAATTTTTTTTTTACTTTTTAGTCCGTTTTTAAAATGTTGTTTTTAAAAAGTTTTTTTATATTTTTTATTATTTACTTTTTAGTCTGCTAAGAAAGTTTATTTATGCTAAACTAAAATGCTAAAAGTTTGTAGTTTATTGTGTGTTTTAATTACTTTTCTTAACAATTTCTTTTATTTACGGTAAACCAAAGTATGCTTTGCGTTGTTTGTTTTAATTTCTTTTTTAAATGATTTCTTTTATTATTACCGCTGACATTGTGTTTGTTTTGCGCAGATACCAAAAAATAAATAAACAAACTGACAAGAAAGCAAAAAAAAAACAAAAAACTATTTGATCACAAAGTGTCATAATTTTGCAACAAAAATAAACTCAAATAAATAGAAGTTTTGAATTTTAACAATTTTGAAATTTTAAATTATATACTGTTGATGTTTTCAAATTGTTTTGTTTACAAAAATTATTACTATAATGTGATAATTACTATGTTATCATTACTATAATGTTATCATTACTGTAATGTGATAATTACTATAATGTTATCATCACTGTAATGTAATCAATACTATAATCATCATTATAATGCGATCATTACTATAATTTGATCATCACATTATAGTATAATGACACATTTTTCATAAATCATCTATTTATAAATCATATTTTTTTGTAACAACTTTTTTTATAATTGATTTATAATAATTTATCTACAAAGCAATTTGTTATATGTGTTTTTTAATATTTGCAAATGAATAGAATCAGATGCGATTTTACCAGGAGGAGGGGTGGGGGTGTTACACCCCCCAAAGAAGGTTATTTTCAAGTTATAGTCGGGTTTTTTTACGACATTAGTTGGCAGTTAGCTATGACACAATTCAGTCGGTTAAATTTTCATTTTGAGGACCCCCTGCCTCTTTAACCTTGGGATTTTTTTTTTTTTAAAAGAAGCTAATCAGTACTTTTTGAGAATTCACCCCCCCCCCTCATTTTATTCATAGAATTGCCTCTGAATAGAATGGTTACATTGTAAACATTTTATAAAGCCTCAACTTGTAAACTTAAATATTGTAAACTTTACAGTATTTTAAGGGTGCATTGTGCAATGTATATACAATTAAGTGTCATACAATCAAAGCTATTAATTTAAAAGTTGAGGTAATAAAATTAAATATGATAATATACAAAATTATATAAAATTATAAATAAGTAAACTGCAGTGCCTGTTGTCAGAGAATGAGTAACACTTAAATTTAAAATGATAACAAGAAACCACTGATTGGTCTGAAAAATTATTTTCAGAAGGTCAGATGGCAACCTCCATTGGGGTTGCAACCCACAAGTTGGGAACTGCTGATCTAGTGTATGCACAAAAAATTACAATATTAATTAAATCTTACCAAGACAACCATAATGATGTTCAGTTATATTTGCAACATAGCCTGGGTTGCACATGCAATCAAAGAATCCATCAAGATTAATGCAATTTCCATTATCCAGATCACAATCTGATATACCCAAATAACATTCATCAATATCTATGAAAAAAAAATTTTTTAAGTTTATTTGAAATATTTATCAATTTTAGATTCTTTTTGAATAAATGTTCATTTATTCAAAAAGAATCTACTAAAAAAGTGTACAAAAAAATCAAGATCATTTCACAAAGTATTTAGGTCAGACATAAAATACCCAAGGCCTTCATATGAAATACTTTACTTATTTAAATATATAAATACTTCAGCTTTATTCCATCAAATGAAAACTGATGTGCAGGGCCAGATATACAACCTCGGAGGTTAAAGGCCAAACTTTTGAGACCCTCAAAAATATTTTGCAAAACCTTTTACAAGACTTTAATCATAATAATCAAAAATCAAGTTTAAATAATTTTTTTCAAGACATCCAAAGTTTTTGGGTTTCGCCATACATACTAATTTTTTTATGAACTTTCCATTGTTTTATTGATGATGAAAATAACTAAAAATACGCTTAAAAAAACAAAATAATTTCTAGAAAAACATCAGCCCTTGAAGATACAATTTTAAAGTTTACAGCACAAGAAAATATTTTGTATTTTTGTTTATTCTTATGCTTGCATTCCTTTATATTTTTCTGATTTATTATTATCTGATGCATTATCGTACAATTGAGATCTGCTATCTGAGATGTAGGCTAAAATATCACCATTATGAGTTTAAATTTTTATGAATTTCAAAGTCGCTTTAAGTTTTTTGTAGTTCAACAAATTGGATATTAAAATATTTTCCTAAACCAATGTGACTATAACTTTTAATGTGTTCTGAACCATTCTCCAATAAGGTTGTTTTTTTAAAAAAGGTTGTTTCTTCTTCAAAAATTTCTGACCAATGTGTCATACTTCTTCGGATTAAATAAGCTATAATGACTTTTCTGTGTTTTGCAGAATTTTGACTTTTTTGTGTTTTGCAGGCTTTTCAATAAAGAAAAAATATTTTTCTAGTCTTTTAATTTGGCTGTAGCAAAACAAAAACTAAAAATCCTTTAAAAAAACTTTACATACAAATAAGAAATTTTTTTTTTGCTGGGGAGTAACCATCAACGAATGTAACTTTAACTATTTTGTCTCAGCATATGAAAAACAATTTTGAACAAAAGCAATTGTATTCCTTGTAAAGCTGTTTATATTCTTGAAAATTTGTGTCCATTTGCTGAATATTTTTTAATCTTTAAGATTTTGGAAAGTAATAATTACCCATAAGCCAACGTAATCATTACTGTTGATACAGCGTTCAATGAAATTGAACAGTGTATCAACAAAAAAATTCTGAACATTTGAGACCAAAACCTGAACATTTGAGACCAAAATTCTGAACAGTTCAAAAGTTATAGCAGTTTGAAGTTTCATAATTGCCTTTATCATTTTTTATGCCTTTGTCGTTTTTAAAATTTTTCATGCTTTCACTTACATGTGCTTATTAAAATTGTTTGAAATAAAGTTGAATAAAAAAAAATTATTTAAAATAATTGTTGAATATTTATGAGCAAATACCATATCAATTATTACACATTTAATAAAAAAATTTTGACATGCCTATAACACACTTTTCCATTACGCAAAACTACCCCGAGGGTATTCAATAACCCAAATTCTGTACTTTTGAGCTCCAAGTCTTTGGTTGATCTAGGTTTATATAAGAATGTTTTAAGTTTCATAGAAAAAACATTATGTTGTACCCACTAGAAGGGTGAACTTGTTTTAAAACTTAGCCAAAATTATGCCTAAAAACCTCACTCAATCATTCTAAAACTCATGTCTCAAAACCTCAATCATTCTAAAACTCATGTCTCAAAACCTAACCCGCTTAGAAAACGATGAAATTTATGCTAACTTTGACAAGCAAAAAATCAATACGTCAACAAACTATAAAAGTTTAGTTTTTTAAAAATGGTTAATCTACCTAAATACTTTCATAGGTTGTTTATAAAACCTTTAATTCAAAAAGATTTTTGACAGAAAAAACAAACAATAAAAACACTAAGGAATCTATAATAATAAAATGAGAGTTCATTTTATACAGCATTTGTTTATCATATCTGTAACGGCTATGCTAAAACAAATTTTTCTTATGTAAAGAAAATCAGAAATATTTAAAATCTTGTGTGTTGACTTCAGTTCACCTGACTTCAGTTCAAGATGTGGCTAATAAAAACTTTTATTTGAATCATAAAGTTGATTAACACATCATAATCAAGTTATATTCCCAACAGAGTGTTTTGGTTGGTTTCCATAACTCTTTGCAAACAGAACAAATACCCCAACATTAATTTATTTAGTGGCTTGACATCGGTTAATATTATAGTGTCATTTACAAATACGTCTTTGACTGGATTCTTCTGTTATTCCCTTAACAGCTTCAACCTGTTCAAGTTTTTAAAAGAAGCCTTTCCAGTATTCTTATTTGGACATTCTGCTAAAAAAAAACAGGAACAACTTTCTTTCATTGTTCTCATTTTAAAGAGAGTTTTTTCTGGTGTTGCTTTATTTCCTGTTTTTACTTTAAGTGTGAACTCTTTCATAAAAAATCTTTCTGCTTAGTTGCAAATCTTGTATGTTTATGGACAGTTATAGTCATACTGTAAGATCAATGTTGCACTTTAATTTAAATTTACTTTCCATAACTATCATTTTAGTATAAATTCCTTTAACAGATTTGAAGATGGGCCATCAAACAAGCAAACCAGAATTGAAGTTTAGACATACAAACAAGGAAATAAGCATGATGAAATAAAATTGCATCCATTGATGCATGTTTGTTCTGTAGGCATTTTCTATTTAGTATCAAAAAATGGTTCATTCAAATGGTTTTATCTCTGTTAATCTAGAAGCGAATTATAATCCTGAATACAGAACATTTTCCCCTTTACCACCATTAAAATATTGGAATAATGCCATTCAATTATTAATGTATGAAATTGAACGAATTGAAAGAATACTTGTTATCTTGGTATCAATGACTTGAATGAATCGATGAACATCAAGGTAACTTGTCAATTTCAACCCCTGTTACTTTTTAATCTTTTGAACTTCCAAAAAGTAAAATACTTTTCTTGATATCCTGTGTTGACATACATTTATTCCCAGCATTAACACATGTACTAATGTACCTCTTGGCAACAGCACTTTTGCAACCACAGTAGTCTTTACCTTTTTGTGGCTAATTGTCTTTCACTATGCAAATGTAGAACAACGTTTCAGTTGCTGAGTTAGCTGACAAACTAAGAATAAAGAAGTTAACAATTTATAAGACCAGAAATAAGTGGATAAAAAATCAAACTATATCATCATACATTAGAAGAGTCTAAACTAACACCCTCCATCCAATATATAATCAAAATATAAGACTTTTAATCTTATTTATAATTATAATAAGACTAATTTCATCCTTTCCAGGACTATTATAATTTTTGTAGATCTGTTTCGAACTCAAAACATATTGAGTAAACATCTTGTTCAACTTTTGCCACATATAAAGTGTCATATAATAGACATATAAATAGGTTTTTTGCCCTTCTCTGAACTTAAGAGGAGGTATTTTTTAAGACCAATTAACTAACCACAAGCTGGTCTCTACCTTAATTTGGCAATAGCACACAAAAAGTGTGCTATTGCCAAATTTCACTTGGATAAAGCATGTACCAAAGTACATGCTTTATTCAAGATTATATAGACTCAATACTTTTGACTTTTAATCATATTTAAGTTTAACTTCTCTTCATTTTCAGGTAGATTCTCAATCATGATTTCAATAATTTCTAAGCAATTTTTGAGTCTTCTATGCAATCTAACCCATACATAGTCTTCAAGTATTGCATTACTTTCTCTAAACGCCTTTTTACGTTATTTATTGAGCATGCATCTGAGAAGGCTTTAGCATTTTTTTACAGAAATAAAACCATTTGTACCTTCACATGTTGTTCTCTAGTTTATTCTAGTTTTATCAGATTTTATTGGAAAAAATTTTCCAGAGCAATTCATCTAATAAAACAGATTGATTTATAAATCTATAATAGATGTTATAAGAGTTTATTTATTCCACTTTGCAAAATGTTGCAAAAATGTAGATGCTGATGACCATTGGTTAAAGTAATTTTGCTTGTCTCATAAGCTTTATCTGGAATAAGTTTGAAATTTTAATTTTTAAAATGTCAAACCAAAAAAAAAATAGAGCTGGTAGCAAAAAATATCAAACAGGGATGTGGTGCTGAAATCAATAAAAAAATATTGAAAGATGCTCGAGCTATGAGACCTAAAGTTTTTGAGAGGTTTCTGGTACAGATCTGAGCTGGAGCCATTAACTAATTGCTGTCTCTTAGGCTTCCTTAAATTTAAATATTTAATTATTTAAATGTTTAAATAATTAAAAAAATTTTAAATGTTGTTTCTGTCAACTCTGTCATTGGAATCTTAAATTACACCCGCTACACCTATTACTCCCGCTAAACCTATTACACCTGCTACACCTATTACACCCGCATGTATTTAAATTTTTAATTTAATTTATCAATAGTTTCTGTCAATTCTGTCATTGGAATTTTAAATTACACCAGCTACACCTGCTACACCTATTTTGTTTGTTTTTGATAAATAACGCTAATATTAGATAAAAACTACATTTATTTTTTATTTTATTATATATATATATATATATACATACATATATAATATATACAATTTATATATAATATATATATATATAGTTATATATACATACATATGTACATACATATATACATACATATATACATATACATATAATATATATATATATATATATATATATATATATATATATATATATATATATATATATATATATATATATATATATATATATATATATATATATATATATATATATATATATATATGTATATATATATATATATATATATATATACTTTAGTTCTGATGCAAAATTAATTTTTTTTCAATTATTCAATGTGTTGTCAGCCTTTATTTAATCTTTTTCTTTTTAGAAAAAAATTAAATTTTCATAATTAGATTAAAAAGATTAAAATGATAAAAGAAATGTCACATAAATGATTATTACAATTTTAATATAAATCGTATAAATTGTACGAAGTTGCAATAAAAAAGCCTTTTACTTTTTAGAAGCTGACAATGGTATTTTTCTTGGGTTTAGTGTCATAGATACATTATTATGTAGATTAATATAGTTTTTTGTTGTTTTTATTTTATTTGCATTTTTTTTGTCTCCAACATTTTAATAAAAATTTTTTTATTATTGTTTAAAAAATAATGATGAAAGAATAAATCAGTCATTTTGTTATTAGCTGTTTGTTTTTGATTTGTCTGTAATTAGAATTTCTAGAGCTTTAGATATTTTAGTAGTAAAATTAATTTTTTAACTTTTTAGAATTAAGTATAAAACTTGCTGTAATTATACTTAATTAGTCCAATATAATGTTATCAGTTTATTCTTATTGAAAATATTGTAATTTTAGCATTGTGAAACTAGCCAAACAAGTACTGTGACTTGTATTTTAAGCTAAGACATTAGCCTAGCTAAAAGTGACTTATAGTGTAGAACTAGGCCGATGAACTAGCTGACTATTTACATTTCTTTATTATTTTTAATTTTCTAAAAGCCTTTTAAAACTGAACTGTAAAACAACATGTTTGCATTTTTTTATTTAGGTATTGGCAGACTGTAGTTGGCATTAAAGAGTTTAGCTTGGACTGTAGCAGACTTGTACTTGGTTTACCTTCTTGAGGTGCCTGCAGTTATAAATGATTTTTTAAAGGGTCACTTTAGAGGAAGCACTAGAGTTATATACTTTGCATAACTCTAGTCCTCTACCCCATTCTTTATGAAAAACTAAATTAAAAAAAAAAATTAGTCTATTTAAAAACTAAATAATATATATGCAAAAATGAACCCAATGGTGGATCCAGGACTTTGTCCTTGGGGGTACACAAAAAACAGCAAAAGATTTGACTAAAAATGGTCTGCAATACAATAAAAAGATAAGAAAAACCTTATTTTTTATTTATAGTAATGTACTGTTAAATAACAAAGCATAACTAAAATACATTAATAAATAGTAGTCATGTGCAAAAAAAAAAAAAAAAAATCTTTAATATATTTTTTTTTGTAAAAAAAACTCAACAGAAAATTTACAAAACTACAATGTAAAATTGAGCTTTCTAGCTTTCAAAATCTATCAATAATCTTTTCAACATTTATGATGCAATCTCTATGGATATGCATTGCAGCTAAGTCATTTAACTATTCTTGTCCGATTGTTAATTTTAACCAAGTTTTAAGTCTTTTTGAATACATTTAATTTAAGAGAAGACATTACCATAACATTGCTTGTGTGCATCAAGTGCACAGTCAGGTAGGTCTTGTTGCTTTTTGATCGGGTCTTTCCATTTCAGCATTTTTTCTATTTGCATTTTTAGTAATGCAGATTTGTTGAAGAACCCCAATCTTTCCACTAAAATATCAAATCAAGATTTTCTACTAAATCAAACAAGATCTAAAACTTAACACAGAATCATTCAATTCATCTCCCATCACATAAGCTTGTAGACTTTAAAAAATGTTATTTCTTTTATTGTGTCAATTATATTTCTTACAGCTTGTATAGATGAACATTTAGAAATTGATAAGTTTAAAGCATGGTTAAAAGATGGACTTTTTAATACATTTGTTAGGATTTTCTGTAATTTTGACTGCTCACTTTACATGACACTGCAACCATCAGTGACTATACTAACACAATCCTTTTAAATTTAAGCCAAATTTTGTTTAATGTGTTTGCAACTATATCTGCTAGAATTTCTCCAGTTAATAAAGGTTCATACATAAAATTAGAATAATTTTCAGTTTACAAAACCAATAAAATCTTTTTTGTTCATTAGTAACTGTGAAATTTTTGTCACAGTTATTAACAATAATATATTGATGTTAATAACTGTGAAAATAATTTCACAATTGTTAACATCAATATATTGATGTTAATAACTGTGAAAAAAATTTCACAATTGTTAACATCAATATATTTAAGTATGGCTATCAATCAAAAGCTGGTATCCGTTGTTTCATCAAATATAATGCCATAAAATTTTTATTCTCAAAACTCTTGTTTTAATTAAGTCATTAATTTGTTCTGCACGTAGCTCATTTATATGAATACTTTTACTTACTTTTTTTGTTGTTGTTATTGTTGCTTTAGAATTACAATTATTTAAGTGGTTTTTGTTTAAGTGGCAATTGAAATCAAAACAGTTTACGAAAGTTGTTATCATTAATTACTGAAGAGTTTTCATTTAATTCAATGATCAGTCCATCGCAATAACCGCTCAAAGCAATATTTTGATGATCAAGCAATATTTTGATGATCAAGCAATATTTTGATGATCAAGCAATATTTTGATGATCAAGCAATATTTTGATGATCAATCATCGCAATAACCGCTCAAAGCAATATTTTGATGACCAAGAAATATTATAGATTCATTTATAGCCTTCAATCTGTCTTGATTTTCTTTAGCCTGATGAACCCTACCTTTGTTAAATAAATTACATACATCAGTAGACAGACATTCATATGTTCTGATGAAATCTGATGCTGCCAACATAGCAACATAGCAACATAGCAACTTTGTGATACGTATGGCAATTGCGTAAGTGCAAATCTTCATTCTTACCCAACAGCTCTGAATAGCTTTTCAGAGGTAAAGTACCTAGTTTGAATAATGCTACTTGACCGTGCATTTCCCCAACTATTGCAAAAAGAAAGCAATACTTACAAAAACTCCAAGACATTCAAATATCATTATCCATGGAAATTTATATGTTTCTCTGACAAAAAGCAATTAACATTCTTAACCTTCTTTGAATGCACTGAATAAGGATATTTGTTATTTAGACCAGGAAACCAATTGCATTTTAATTTTCAGTATTTATATCATTCAGTTACCAGACATGTTAAAAATGCCCAAATGTCTATAGGCAAACAGTTATCATCTGTTGTAGAGGATTGTGAATCTTCTTTATTAATTTCACAGACTGTGTTATTTTTACTTTTAGAATTTACAGATTCCATACCAAGTTCAGGATCAAGAGAAAAAAGACTAAGCTTCATTGTAATTTGATTATTTTCAGCCCCATCAATAAATGGACAATTACACTTTTTAGATGACGAGGTTGAAGAAAAAAGGCAAAGCGATAGAACCAGCATGGTCCTGTATTGGTAGAATTTTAATTCTTTTGACAAAATAGTCCTCTAAATTGTCAGTCCTCTTTACCCTGGTGGTCAGTGGTGGTCATTGCAGCTAATAGAATAAAATGTTATTTAAAATAGTAATAAATATATGTCATTTAAAATAATAATAAACACATTTTTGTTTTCTAAATAAGAAACTAATTCATAAAAAAAATATTTCAGATAATTTTCTTTAAAAAAGTATATTTTTCTTCATATCTTGTATTTTAAAAAATGTGTGAAACTTCAATTGTTAAAAAGTAAATTATATTATTTACTTTTCTATTAACATTTTAACCACTAAAAATGGTATCACATAAACAAATTTTGCTACAAATTCAAACTAAAATTAACATTAAAACGAAATCTATAAGTTTTTAATTGTTAGGAAGTTTTTAGAAACTTTACTGTTTTTTGTTATTTAATTATATAATAGAATGCATTAACTTTGATAACATTAAATGTTTAAAAACTTTTTTCCATTTTCTTCCATAACATTAAAATGTTAAGAATGCAACAAAAGCTTTCTTAAAAAAATCAATTGTTGCATTCATAACATTTTTTTAAATGCTTTAAAATAGTTAGCTAATGCTTTATATGTATATAAATAATTTTTTAAATAAATGTTAATAATTAGCTGCAGAATCATTTGCTTTTTGTTATTTCTTTTAAAATTTGTTAAAAATTATGTGACACTTGAAATTACTTAGGAAGGAGAGGGGAAGGTAGCCACCTCAACCCACCTCCTTTGTATCTGCCCTGAATGAACCTCAACATATTTTATATTTAATCACATATGAGATATGGTATGCAACAAAATAATTTACAAGAGAAAAATAGATATGCAAATAACCAATAAAACATACCAACACAAGTGGAGCTTCCATTTAATAATGTTAGCAGGTTATAACCATTGTCACATACATAAAAATAACTTCCGACAGTGTTTACACAAGTACAGTGAGGACTCAAACATTGATTTTCAGCACACTCATTAGTATCTATTTCAGAAAAATATTATCAAATAGAATAAATAAAATTAAACAGATTAACTACATTAACCAGAAAAAAACCCCAAAGAGAAAAAACAAAAAGAGAAAAAAAGTATTAAAAGCATTTTTTATCAAGTTTTGAAAACATTATCAACATTTCAATACCTGTACATTGATCAGAAAGCGTTTCAACTCCTCCACTTCTTGTACTATATCCACTCTTACATGTACAATTATAACCTCCGCTAAAATTATTACATATAGAATTAACAGAGCAGTTGTTCTGATTCATGCTACACTCATCGAGATCTATAAACAATCGAGGATTACATTTTGATTTTTTTATTTCTGTAAACTTTCGAAAGAATACAGTGAATAAATTAAAATAAATTTTTTTTTTGGAATGATACAAAGAGAATAAAATAAAACTTTGTGAAAATTTACCAGAAAATTTACCAGAATTTTTAAAACTAACCTCGACAAGTATAAAAATCTTCAGGTCGGGGAGAAAGATAACCAAGAGGGCAAACACATTGAAAACTACCAATAGTATTTATGCATGTAGTAAAATTAAGAGTAACAGGTAATTGACGATCACATGGGTTGTTAAAAATAGTCACACCATTAGGTACACATTCATTAACATCTATGAAGTCAGGAGAAAATTTATAGATCATAGTAACAAGTGCTGTTATAATAAGCATTATTTATAAAATTTGAAATTCTCTTAGCTTAAAAAATAGTAATCTAAAATTAAAAAACAATTTCAAAATAATTTTAAAAAATATTTTATGTTTTCAAGTTTAAATTGGACTAGCAATATATTATTTTTGAATCAAAAACTTTACCTTCGCAAAAAAACTTTACCTTCGCATACTCCAGTTGTAGGATTAGTTTGATTTCCACCACCACATATACATTTGTACGAACCAATAGTATTAACACAAACAGTTTGATCTGGGCATATCGATACTCTTTGTGCACACTCATTTACATCTATAATAAACATAAAGTTGAAAAATTTGTAATACTCATTAGAATGCAAAAATATAAACATTATTATTTATACATAGAAGTACTATTACCATAGCATCTCCTCCTATTGTCGCTTACTACGTAATCACCAACGAAACCATTATTACAAATACATTCATATGAACCATCAGTATTGGAGCATTCAGAGTTTTCAGAACAGATGGAAGGATCTTCACACTCATTTATATCTATAAATTATTTCAATATTAAAAAGTCATTAAATGCCACAGTGAGCTAGATGTTTGCAAAAAGTATAAAATAATATATAAAAAATAATATAATAAAATATTATCTAAAGTAAAATAGTTTTACATAAACTAAACTTAAAAAAAAAACTTAAGGATTTTTTATATTTGTGTTAAGAGTTTCTCATTTTAGCCTGAAAATATTTGTAGAGCTCTAACTCATTTTTTAACTTTATTTATTTGACTATTTTATTAAATAAAATCAAATAATATTATCATATTAACTTGTTTTTTATTAAATCAATAAAATATTAACTAGACAGCAAAACATTACCTTCACATTGCCTTGGAAACTGCAAGGTACCATAATTGATAACACTAGTATTGTCATTTACCCATGTACCAGGAAGTGCATAGTAACCAGGATTGCACTGGCATTCATAAGTGCCTGGTGTTGAAGTTGAATTACATTTTGAATCAGCAACATTTGCACATGCGGTTGATGAACAAAAGTCTTAAAAATTTGACAGCTATAGTATAACTTTATTAAACTTATAAAATTTTTGATAAAAATTTCATACTTATGAACCATATTACTAAAAAAAAACTAGGGAAAAAAAAGTTGCTTGTTACAGGTTAATTTACTCTATTATATATACTCTATTATAAAAACATATTTTACATACTAATATACATAATATATATATATATATATATATATATATATATATATATATATATATATATATATATATATATATATATATATATATATATATATATATATATATATATATATATATATATATATATATATATATATATATATATATATATTTATATATATATATATATATATATATATATATATATATATATATATATACATATATATATATATATATATATATATATATATATATATATATATATATATATATATATATTTATATATATATATATATATATATATATATATATATATATATATATATATATATATATATATATATATGGATATATATATATATATATATATATATATATATATATATATGGATATATATATATATATATATATATATATGGATATATATATATAGATATATATATATATATATATATATATATATATATATATATATATACATATATATATATATATATATATATATATATATATATATATATATATATATATATATATATATATATATATATATATATATGTATATATATATATATATATATATATATATATATATATATATATATATATATATATATATATATATATATATATATATGGATATATATATGGATATATATATATATATATATAAATAAATATATATATATATATATATACATTTATATATTTATATATATATATATATATATATATATATATATATATATATATATATATATATATATATTTATATATATATATATATATATATATATATATATATATATATATATATATATATATATATAATAATAAAAAGCAAGTTTTTCAAAAGCTATTTTGTTAATTTGTTTATTTATTATTTAATTTTTAGTTTTATATTTTCAATTTTAAATTTTTAAAAATAAAATATAAAATTTAATTTACAAACTATTTATTCTAAAAAAAAAAAACTTTTTAACCCTGGTCAGAGAAATATTAATCACTAAAGTACAAATAACATTGCTCCAAACTAATGTATATTTTAATTTCATTTTTCAACTCTTGGCTTCCTAATTTTGTAGACTTACTGACATTAAATGCTTCTGGTAACTGTCTCATAGAAGGCCTCCTAGACAATGACTAAAGGAGTAAACAGATTCTATCTATTGACCAGCTTCACACCCCTTTTTTATCTATTAGGCAGAGTAGATATACATTATTTCCAGTTTAGGATGTTGAATGCTGGGTCTTCTTGACTCATTGCATGGGTTTTGCTTGTGTCTCTATTTTTATGACTAAACAACTCATTCTAATATCTCCTAATGAGGGTGCAGCTCTAAAACTCAGATTATATGGTTCTGAAGACAGCTGGTATTTAAGTTCCTCAAGGTTCTATCCTTGGCTCTATACTATTTTAAATTTACATTAAAGATCTACCAGAAATTCTCATATATATGGTGGCATTGATTGCTGATGATACTACTAATTATTCTTGTCTTGATAAGAAGCCTCAAGATAAAACTCAATTTTTTCAGCTAATCATTATTACAATAATCTATTGGGTTGGGGAATAAGTTTGTTCGTTTTTTTTAAAGAGGATTATTTAAAGAATTTGTTTTTTGTTGAGCAAAGTGTTTGTATTCATTAGACAGTGCCTTTTCTGCTCTACAGAACTGTGTTATTTGTTTTTTCGAATATTTTTAGTTTTTCATATTTTTCACTCTTAGAAATGGAATACCCAGGTGGCAAAAATCAGCATTTTTGACATCTTCTTTTCTTCACTTTTCATCATGGTCAAAAAGCAGCAAAGCTGCTCGTGACATATGCAACGTGTATGGAGAAGGTGTCATAGGTGACGATGCAGTATAGAAATGGTTTGCAAAGTTCAAAAATGACGACTTTGACCACGAAGATATACCTCGCAGCGGACAACCCACAGAATTTGATGAGGAGTTCTCAAGGCACTTTTGAAGGAAGATGGTCGCCAAACAAGTCGTGAATTGGCCAAAAAACAAACTGCGATCATAAGATGATCCTTAACCATCTTCACTTAATGGGATTTGCCGAATATTTTGGAGCCTGGGTGTCTTACAAGCCTAATGAAATCAACAAAGAAAATCGTTTTCAAATTGCTGCTCTACACCTTGCGCGTCATCGAGCAACACACGCCCATAAACAGTACTTTTTGTACCGAATCGTCATGGGAGATCAGAAATGGTTACTGTACGTCAAAAAAAAACTCACTTGTTTCTTTGTTCCTGAAACAAAGAAAGGAGTAAGTGGCCCTGGGAGACACACCAATGCTTAGAATCAAGCAAGATCTCCACCCAAAAAAGACCATGATCTGCGTTTGGTGGACTGGGAAGCATGATACACTGGATAATACTTGAAAGGGAACTCAACGGTCAACAAGGAGCTCTATATTGCTTAACTACGCTGTGTAAATGAGGCTATGCAACTGAAAAGACCTGACCGACAAGACCAAGTCATCTTGCTCCATGACAACATCAGACCCCATGTTGCACAAGTCGTTAAAACCACACTCCAAGAGCTCGAATGGGAGGTTCTTCAAAATCCACTGTACTATTCGGACCTTGCACAAACAGATTATCACCTTTTCCTCTTCTTGTCGAATCAAATGAGGGGTGTTAACAACGGCAAAGAAGACCTCAAAAACTGGCTCAACAACTTCTTCGACACCAGACCGTCATTTTTTGGCGGAGCGGAATCAACAAATTGGTCGAGAGTTGGAAGGTTGTAAACAGTAACAATGAATACATAATTGATTAATTTATTGTTAAAATTATCTTTTTTGTTTAAAGAAAGCTCTTTGAAAAAAACCAAACAAACTTATTACCCAACCCAATAGATCTTACAATATTTATGAATGTAGGCTTGGCCAGGAAGGTATGCAATTTCACATCTTAATATGACCATGCAAATACTCTGTGATTTTGAAAACTTAACCACAGCTGTTAACATGTTTTGAAAACTCAAGTAAAAAATTAACTTTTTATATATGAAAATAGAAAGAAACACAAAACGAAATTATATATATTTAGTACAACTATTCCTTTTAAAAGCTTTCTAAATATATACTAAAATGAAGTTAAAAAAATTATTAATTGATAAATATCTGAAAAACTAATGACTGTTTCTCTGATTTATTTATAATATGACATAAAACGTTATAGCATAACTAACAAAAATGTTACTAAAAATAGTTAAATAAATATTTAAAAAATACTAAAAGTAATCAATCAATAGTAATAAGGTATAGCTATAACAACTGGTGTTAACAGTTGCGAAGTGCAATAACAATTGTATTTAATTGTAACAATAATATTGTACTGTAACAGCTTAGTTGATTTTTTGTTTATGTTTTAACATATAGTTTCTGGAAAATTTAGATTTTTCTAGTTCAATTTTAAAATCATTTATTGAAGCAGCTTCTATTATATCAGATGGTAAGTTGTTCCATGTATTAACAACTCAAAAATATGAAACCAAAACAGGGTTATATTTGCTGATTTCCAGAGT